TAAGATTATTTTTGTTGAATTTTTGCTACTCTGATTAATCCCAACCGCGATGTAAATGTAAGTAATATAATAAATAAACCAATAAACGATACTAACCGCGGCGCCTTTCGGTACTTGGCGCCGGGTAGCAATTGCAACCCCTACTACCCCGATAGCTACGCCACTGCCGAAATGTATGGTTGTAATAGAGTTCGCTTAAGGGTAGGAGCCACCCCCGCCATTGTTTAATTCTTTACGCAAACCAGAGAAACGTATCCTGTTTTTAATGGCATGCTGCCATAGGTCAACTGTTGTTATAGAAATACAAAAATATGCAATTCTTATCGCGACCCGACCATTAAACCCTCATTAAATACAAAAACTCTCCTGCTTAGGTCCATGTAGATAAGAAAATGTTAATTCTTCTATTCATTAATTCATTTACCTACATTTTAAGCCCTGATTTTCTTCTTCTAGTATTGTATATTATTCAAAACAAGATTCAAAAAATATATTTTTTAGATATTAAATCAATTTATGTTAAATATGTAAAATAGGTGTTAAATAAGTATCAAATGTATATCTTAAAGGTATTAAAAATATATTATAGACTTCTTTTAAATACCTTCTCAAAGAGTAACAAAATAGGCATTTAATATGTATTACACTAACACTAAATATGTATCTTTCAATATATATTTTGTAGAAATAAAATACATTTTTTGAAGGTATAAAACAGATACAAATGCTAGACTTATTCATAATACATCTTTATATAAGTTTTATATCTATTTTATACATATCTGTGCTACTTGGGATATTTAAAAATCATTTTGCAATGCTTTTTCCCATTGCCACTCCACTGCTCCCAAACCAGAAAAATAATCTGCAAATTTTTCTCTGATTGTTGAAGCATTTCGACTATAAGTATTACTGCCAGTGCTGTTAATCTCGCATAAATTACCCATTACAATGTCTCCCGTATTTTCTGTCACACGAATATTATAATCTGCCTCATTTTTCATTAAAATGAAATTATGCAAACAGACAGTCGACTGTATAATCTTTTTTATTGTTGTAGAACTTGCTATAATTGGTTTGCGAAATATTCTCCATCTACCTGCCAGTAATCCAAAAGAACTTTCCACAACCCTACGAGCGCGACTTAACCTATAGTTAAACACTTTTTTACGCATATCTAATTGGCCTCTACGTGGATAAGGTCGCATCATGTACTCCGTTAAAGGAAAGGCTTCATCGGCCACTAAAACGTACGGTACTTCATCTTGATCTGGTAAATTGAATATTTTTTGGTCAAAACCTTGTCCCATTGCACTACATTTAAAAATACCACTATCACTTTGTCTTCCTTCACCACCAATATCCACCATGACAAACTGGTAATTAGCATCTGCTATTGCTAATAAATTGTACGAATGACTGCCTTTGTAATTGTAGTACGTGGACCCGGAATTTGGTAAAGCCTATAATAAAATATATATATTATGGATGCTGACAAAGCCAAAAATATAGTTCTACCTGCATAACTACGTGTTTCCCATCAATTGCCCCTATACAATTTTTAAAATTCCATTTCACCTCAAATTCCCTAGCAATCTTCTTCCAGTTTTCGGCACAAGGTTCAACAAATACAATTGGTTTAAGGGTATCCCATATCACCTGACAAGTCTCTGCTATTATTTGTGATACAGTATTTTTCCCAACACGAAACATATAATGCATAGGTAGACATCATGCTATCTCCTGAAGCTAGATAACGTAAGGTGATTTGTAAACGGATTGAAGGGTGAACAGATTCACGTATGACATTTTGTTTTTCAATTTTTGGACCAACTAATCTTAACAATTCATCAAATGTTTCTCGTGTCATCCGAAAGAAGTTAAAAAACTTTTCAGGATCATGGCTGTACATTTCCTTTACTAAGTTGTCACTAGCTCCTTGCAAATATCTTTGTTCTTCTTTCAAAAAGTCTCTAACCCAAAATCTCCTAGTGACTTTCTCATCCTGTTGCCTTTCGATGTATAGTACATATAAATACAGTAACTTTTTGCGATTTTTATCATTTTTATAGAATAAAGGAGACTTTCTTTGTTTGGCAACAACTGCACCAATTACTGACAACAAAGTGTTGCTATTGATAGTATTCATTTTTTATCACTATTTCATACAACAGATAAAAATAAGAAAACAAACATAGGTTATGTCAAGCTGTGTTTATTATTGCGCTTTTAAAATAAAGCAGAGTTCATAAGGGACGTTCCGTAAAAAATACGCGGAATACGTGTTTCCGCTTTTCCGTACATGGGGTTCCAGCCTTAAAGAAAGTATAGGTACATACAGTGGCACCACGCTCAGAAAGTCCCTGACAGGGCGTGTCCGAGGGCGCTAGAAATTTAGACCGTACATTCTGATGCAAAATTTAAAAACACTTTTAAGGGAATTACATACCTTATCAGATCATAGATCGAAATAATGAAAAAATAATGATTATGGATATCTAATGTACATCTAATGGATATCAGAGTATTATAGGCGGTAGAAAAATAAAAATCATTACTAGGTATTATACAGTGGGCAGCACCTTTAAGTAATATCAAAATACCAAATAGGGTTCATAATTAACTGTTTATAAATTTTGTACCGATGGCTACTTTTTAAGATCCAATGGACGTTTATTAGATATCAATAATAGTCTGGATTACCAGTGGATAACTGGTGCTTCCATTCAATATCCATTAGATGTTCTGTGCTATGTGGGTATATTTACAAGTTCCATCACAATATGATTTTGAACAAATTGCATTGGACTTCTACGCAAAGTGGAACATGCCGAACTGCATTGGAGCAGTAGATGGTAAACATATTGCCATCCAATGTCCTCCCCGTACTGGCTCCCAATTTTTCAGCTATAAAAAAACATTCAGGTATGAAACTTATTAAAGAAAAAATAATGTAGATTAATTTATTTTGTAGTATCGTCTTAATGGCTACCTGCAACGCCAACTATCGTTTCAACATGGTAGATATAGGTGCTGCAGGTTCGAACCATGATGGCCTTGTCTTCCGGGAGTCTGGGTTCGGTAGTGCACTACTGAATCAGACACTTCTCATACCAAATCCAAAACCACTTCCAGGAAGTGATTTTGTGCTTCCTTATTTTGTAGTGGCGGATCAAGCATTCCCTCTACATGCAAATATAATGCGACCATATCCTGGTGAACATCTCGTGGAAACAAAGCGCATCTTTAATTATAGATTATCTAGAGCTCGTCGATGTATAGAGAATGCATTTGGCATTTTGGCCCAAAGATGGAGAATATTAAGAAAAACTATCATTGGAGACGTGACAACATGCGAGGAAATTGTGAAGGCTACTGTTGTACTACACAACTTCATAATTGATTATGAAAATAAGGCTTCTGCAAATGCGAAGTGGTATTTACCACATGGATATGGAGATTATGTGGACACACAAGGGAATATCCATGAAGGTCACTGGAGAAATCGTCAGCCACATTTGCAACCGATGGGAAGAATTGGTAGCAACAATTTTACAAGAAGAGTGGGTCAAAATAGAGACAATTTAGCAGATTATTTTGTGTCCGATGTAGGAAGTGTGCCATGGCAAATGGAAAAGATTTTTGAGGGCAGTCTACCTTCATAAATGTTAACAAATTAATTAGTGTATGATTGTATAACTTTATTAAATTCAAAGTAGTAATAAAATAACTGGTAAGCACTTCTTAATTTTCATATTGCTCCAATACCTCCAAAAGTTGGATTTTTGCCCTAGCTTTCCTTTTTCTTTCAGTTATGTGCCGTAATGATGCAGCAATGGTTTTGCCGAAGTACTGGTCTTCATCAAGTTCTTCCGTTGGTGTGTTCTCCATTATTGCGCTGAACCTTGTAAACGCTTTACTAATTGCGGTTTGCATCATTTCTTGAGATGTGCTTTTTGCCTTCTTCTTTACCCGAAGTGCTACCTGAGGGACGTTGGGTGCTACCTGAGGGACATTGGGTGCTAGCTGAGGGCTGTTGGGTGCAATGTCTACTGATGGAGACCTCTCACTCTCCTCCATAATAGAACTGTTGCAATTAAGGTGCTCGTCTTGTGTTATCTGTGAATACGAATCCCATTCTGGCGACAATGGAGATTGTAATTCCGGGCTTTGGCTGGTTGTAGGGGATTGCATTCCCTGCATCTCCGTGTTTGCAGACGGTATTGCACATGATGACATAGGGGGTACGTTACCATGTGTTCTGTTAACATTAGTATAATATTCTCTCGAGTGTGTTAGCGTACCTTCTGGATATGATAAATGTATCCAGAAAAGACATCGCATCAAATAACACCAATTTCTTTTCAATGCCTCCTGCATCTCCTGATCTGCTACTTTGCATTTTTTTTTTTTCTATATTATACCTCGCTCGTAGGGTAAGGAATCGTTGTTTTGCATCAGCAGCTTAAGTAAAATGGAATTGAGGAACTCCATAATGTAATACACTTACGTGATACGTTCAAAACGCTGGCAATGGTGGCCCATGCATTTGCCTTCATTGTTTTATTTTTAAAGTCCTCACTTTTTCGATTATACAAAGCCGTATATTTTTCTACCAAAGTAATTAGAAGTGCGTTGTCCATAATAAGTAAACAAACAGCAATTTGAAATTAAAACAAATACAAAATTACGCAAACGTGAAACGACATAACCACAAAAAACAGTAAACAATAAATTTGATGGTCGCGTGACTACAAAAACAGCTGGTGGAAGAAATCTTAAAGTGGGTATTACACTGAGCGTTTTACCCATGGGCAAGACGCTGACTTTAAACCCACCGGCAAAACGCTGTTTTTAAATCATGATTACATTTACCGTTTTGCATCTAGACTTAACGTGGTGCTCGATGGTGGGAAAGACACAGCGACACCGCTGTCAGTTTTTGAACAGTTGTCACAATGCATGAACGCGAATATGATGATTTGTTAATGTTATATGGTTTATACAGTATTTTAAAATTACGCAAGAAAAGGAAGAAGAAACGCTTATGGGTGCGAAAATTTCTGTCTAAACGTGATAAAGTTTCCCATACCACGACAATTTTGCCCGAATTAGAGGCGGATGATTTTCGGAACTATCTTCGTATGGACGAAGATACATATACCCATCTTTTAAGTCTTGTATCCGCGAGGATTCAAAAATGTGACACTCAATTGAGAAAAGCGATCACTGCACATGAGAGACTGACGGCAACGTTGAGGTTTTTGGCGACAGGGAGGAATTACACAGACTTAAAGTTTACGTGTGGAATCTCTCAGCCATCCCTCAGCATTATTATACCAGAAACCTGTGAAGCAATATGTTCTGTCCTACTCAAGGATGTTATAAAGGTGAGAATGTGAGATCGAAATAAAAGATCTTAGGTTTTTATACTTTATTACCAAGGATAGCTAGTCAAAGGAACACAAGTTCTGTTAACAAAATTTTCCATTTTGTCCGCGTGAAACTAAAGTTTGATATTGTGGTTGTGATGTAGATGCTAATTCTAGATATGACGGGTAAGCGGAATGTTCGGTTGAATTTGCATACGATGAGCTTGAACAATTTGAATTTTGATGTACCATAGAAGAATGATGTGGGGTGGGAGTTGGATCAGAATTCCCAGAATAGTTTGGATAATGCGACGAACCTGCCGTGGAACTAGGCGTCGAAAATGTGGATTGTGGGACGGAATTTGGGTTAAATGAAACGGGATAGGGTGAGAGTTCTGGTCCAGATGACATAACGTTGCTTATAGCCGTTACATGATTAGGTGATAGAGTACCTAATTCGGCTGAATATAAAACATCATTTATAAGCTTCTCCGCTATGATTCTTTGCCTTTCATTCAAATTTGTAAGTTTTTCGGCCCAGTTCCGTGCAATATGATCATATCGCGTTAGCTGAGGGTCTTGTAGGGGAGGTTGGGAAAAACGTTGTTTTATAATGCCCAATACTTCGTTAGCACTGTCCTTTTCAATAGCACATTTGCGCTTTTGTAGACGCGCTGTCTGTCTGTTTGTCATGGAGGATGATGACGCTACCGAAGATGGAGTACCTGGTGATAATATAACTGGCGACCTTGATCGCATCCCATCTTCAGGGTGTTCAGTGGAAGGTTCGTTGTCATCCTCTTGACTGTTTTCTTCTTCGCTCTATAAACATAAAAATAATTACATGCTACATATCTACTTGGGGTTTGTCGAGATTAACTGATAAGTGTCTTAGTATGTTTATCAATTGCGCTATATTATTGTTTGGTTCATTTCAGTTCCCAAAAACTACTGAAGAATGGGCTTCGGTTGCCTCATTATACGAAGACAGGTGGAACTTTCCCAACTGCCTTGGATCAATTGATGGCAAGCATGTTCGTATCACACCTCCTAAAAACAGTGGTGCTTTCTACAGAAATTATAAGGGCTACGACAGTTTAGTCCTTCTAGCTGTTGTAGATGCGGACTATAAATTTTTGATGGTAGATTTTGGCACAAATGGACGCGTTTCGGATGGAGGCGTTATTGAAAACACCAAATTTTATAAAAAACTTATCGACGGAAAACTCAACCTTCCAAATTGCAGACGAGTTGGTAATCGGGACTTGAAGTATGTATTTGTGGGAGATGAAGCATTCGCGTTGAAAAGTAATTTCATGAAGCCATTTAATGTGAGAGAACTGTCAACTGAAAAGCGAATCTACAATTACCGATTGTCTCGAGCACGACGAGTAGTGGAGAATGTGTTTGGTATATTGGCTTCTCGTTTTCGAATTTTTCACACTGCAATAAATTTGGATTTAAACAATATCGAAAAAGTAGTGATGGCTTCATGTGTTCTACATAATTTTCTCCGTTCTAGATCTGGATGTCAGTATTTACCTAGAGATGCTATCTATTCAGAGGATACTGAAAACGGAACAACACGAACAGGACTGGTGGCAGATGACTCCAACCTCGCCAATTTACAATCAGGACCAAATAGAAATCCTTCAACTGAAGCAAAAGAAGTTAGAGACAATTTTGTTCAATACTTCAACAACGAAGGTGCTGTTCATTTTCAAAATAAGTTTACCTGATTACCAGCTGATTTCAAAATAAATAATTGCACCTTGGTCTATTTTTATTTGTAGTGCTGTACGCATTTGTGTAACAAAGTGTTTCCTTGTAGACCAATACATATTTTCATATATCGTTTCGCGTGAAATATTTACCTCATCCACAGTGGTGATAGATTCCCTCGGAGTTTCTTGATCGTCTAAAAATCGCAAAAGGTCGAAGTACCACAGTTTAGGTTGATACACTTCATCTTCACCAGCTCCAGATTTCAGGGATTGTTTCACTTTTTTATTTTCTTTTCGCCAACAATTTTTTAAAGAATTTATTTTCTTCATAACTATCTCTTTGGTGGCCTCTTTATCAAACCCCTTATACATTTTCAGTACCTCATCCCAAGCCTTTTCTTTTTCTATTCTATTTAAGTATTCGCTACTTTTTATTTTCCAAAGACACGGCATGCTGCGATACAGTCCTATAACTGCAACCAAATTTTCCTTGGTTATCCCCCGTAAATCAGACATTTCAAACTCTGAAATTTTTCCAAATCAGTAAAAATAATTGACACAGAGCATTGTATTACGGATTTATACAAGTAGAAGTTACGATTATGCACAGATATTCATGTTAATTTCTTTACTTGCATAAATCCATCATGGAAAACTTACCGTTACCACTATATGAAATTTACATGCACACGTGCAATAAATAAAAGAAAACTAGCGCTACGAATAACTCAAACACGCAGTCAGCTGATTGTAGGTACATGCGCAAAACAGAAAAAGGCGCCGTTTTGCCCACAAAACCTATCACACTTGCCGTCATATCGCAGCGGCAGCGTAAATATCCAACAAGTCGGATATTGCTTGGGTTTGACGATGTCGTCTTACCCACTTAGTTTTGCTCGATTACACTTATAATTTTGCCGGTGGGTTTGAAGTCAGCGTCTTGCCCATGGGTAAAACGCTCAGTGTAATACCCACTTAATACATGCGCACTAGCATTTTCACTTAATTTTATCATATTTTATTTTAAGAAGTTAAAAGTTGGGCAACTTCCTTACAATTTAAAATAAAATTAAATTCTTAAATATTGGCATAAAACGCGTCATTAAATTCTGCACATTGTACTTTCTTAAAATAAAATTAAAATTAAAATAAATGCTTAAAAGTTTTGCATAAACCCACCTTAAGATCTGTCATAGAACGTGCTTTTGGTCGCCTAAAAGGAAAATTTAGGCGACTGAAATATTTAGACATCGGAGATGTGAACTTTGGAACTCAAATAATTATAGTTGCTTGTGTTCTCCATAATTTTATTATTATACACGGGGAAAATGATGATGACCCCAATGACCACCCGTTAGACATCGAAATAAAATATAATCCAGATGATGGCAATATAGAACCACACGATAATGTAAATCAAGGCATCCAAAAAAGAAATGCGATAGCAAACTTACTTGTATAGGGTAAATCGAGGAGAGATGGACCACCTTTTAAACATTTTTCGATAACTTCTTTATTTATAAGAATATAAGTCTACAAAACAGTACAACGTTAACATAAACATTCGTGGTCCTTTTGGTAAAGTTTAATGGTTAATATAACTTGACAAATAATTATAAATTCTAAAAAACTAAAAATCGTAATTGGTCCATCTATCCTAGTGGGGATAGGAGAGATGGACCTATATGAAAAGGAGAGATGGACCATCCATTAATTTAGGGTTTTTGTCCCTTTTTTTAAAGTGGGGGCGGCACCGCAGCGTTGGCATGTGTTGGTGTAGGATGTGCAACCATCTGGAACATACAATGCATTGTAACCATTCCTCCTTTTTCTTTGTAAGGCGATAGTCTTCGAGGCACCCGACGCACTGATTTTCGATATCATCCAACGTTTCTTCCCCACTAGATGAATCATCCAAGATTACGTTTCCATCAGATTCTGAAGAAGTAGACTCGTGTCTGCGTTTCTTCTGCAACTTTTGATCTGTAGATTTCGGTAATTTGTTTTTGGAAGGTTTTTCCTTTCTCTGTCCCTTTGGATGAGGTGTTTGGCTTTGTTTTTGTTTTTTCTGACGAACAAGGGCTTTGTGATTGGGTGAAGTTAAGTCACCCATTAGGTTGACACGAGCTTTTCTGATAGCTGGGGTTATCTGGGGTACAGGTGAAAGTTCTTGAAGTAGCTTCCCAGGTGTTTCTTCTTCTTCAACACTTCCCAACTGTTTTTTTGAATGACCTGGTTGAGGCGATTCATGGTAGAGAGGAAGGTGCATTCCGGAAGGGCCTGGTTGAGGTGAGTCACCATCGCGAGAAAGGGTCTCAGTTTCCCTTAATTTTGCTGTAGAGCCAGTTTGTTCCTCTTCTTCTCTTGCATGTATTGCAGCCTCATTTGGAGGTTGGGTTAGAAAAGCGTGATCGGGAATTTCATTCGGATTGTAAGGCCAAATTCCTGTTGACCGAAAGGCCGATACGGCATTGTTGACTGTAGCCGATTTGCCCCAAGCCTCCCCTAAAAGTTTGCCAAATTGCAACCGATTTAATTTTCTATTGGGGTTGCATTTGATCATCCTCCTACACGATTCATAATAATGCCCCTTCAGGCTTTTAAAGAATGCCCTATCCAGCGGTTGTAAATAATGTGTTGTATGGCTAGGCAAACAAAACAAAATTATATCGTGGTCCTCGGCAAATTGCAACGTGTCAAGATTGGTTGTATGAGAAGTGTGTCCGTCTACTATTAGTAAGACTTTCCCGGGTACTTTTCTGGGGTAGAAGTGGTTTTGTAGCCAGTCCAGGAAAATGTCTGACGTCACGTATGCCGACTTTTCTGACATGCGAATACGTGAGGCAGGTGGCATTCCGTCAGCCCATTCTGCTTTAGCATTTTTCCCCTTAAACACGCAGTAAGGAGGCAAATAAACCCCTTCTGCATTACAGCAGGCAACTACTGTAATTGTTTCACCTTTTTCGCACGGGCTAATTGAAGGTACACTTTTAGATCCTTTCTGAGCCAGCACCTGCTCGCGTGTTCAGCTGTAGTCCTGTCTCGTCTGTATTGTATATATTGCCAGGCTTGTCAAATAAACTATTTTGAGAGAGTACAGCATCGAGTTCTTTAAAATATTTCTCTACAATATTTCTAGACATTCCCAACGCTCGAGCTATTGAGGTATTTTCAGCTTTGCGAACTGTAATATCTGGATTTCGTCTCAAAAATTGAAGCAGCCATACATTACCAGCTTTACCTAAAAATGTGCACAACAATTTGTTACAAAGTTTTAAAATTTCAAGTAAGAGTTCATGTAACTCACCCTCTTCTCGATTAAATTTGTGTTCAATTCCAAGACGTTCGGCTAAATTATATGCCATAACGCGCACTTCCCCTCTAGTGGGTGCGAAACCACTTTTCTGCAATTTTTTTATGTGGGTAGAGAGCTTCATTTCTGCTTCTCTACCAAGTACACTACCAGGGCCCAATCGGTCGGTTTTATCCAGATTACTAGCTGCAAATCTGCGTTTAAATGTGGTTTTTGGAATGCCGAACGCTTTTGCTGCTTCATTGACACCCATTTGACCGTACACTACCGCATTAACGGCATCAGTTAAATTGTAATATTACGGGATTTATTCTCCTTGCTCGGACTCGCTTGGAGTCCGAAGGAAACACACTTTCTGCGACCAGTCGATATTTATTGACTACTTCTACAATACTACTTATATTCAATACTGCCTAGATTCTAATCTTACATGCTAGCACTATTTTCCCCTACTACTTATTATTAACTACCTACCACTACACCTCCATAGCGAGGGAAAAAAAATCTATTCTACAAGATTTGATTTTTTTTGTACTTAGTCTAACTGTAATTTATATCCTACGTTACATACTTAATTTTACAAACTTAATTAAAGAAATTAGAATTTAACTTAATCTAGGTATGGCTTAACACGATTTTTATGAACTGTCACTGTACCGTCTTTAACCTTCAACACTAAATTTGGAGAATGGTCCTCCACAACCGCGTATGGACCTTTAAAAAGTTCTTGTAACTTATTGGCCGGAGTGTTTTTTACTAATACTAAATCACCAGGCCTGTACTTAATTCCTACGTTACAATTATCCGTGCGCTTGTCATAGACGCACTTCCTAAAATTTTTTGACTTGATTAACTTTTCACGTGTATCTGCGTGGGTTTGCTGTAACCTAAATTTAAGTTCTTTAGGATAATCGACATAATTGTAAACTGGATCGAAATTAGTAATTAAATGGGAAGGTAATTTCGCAATTCGTCCAAAAACTAACTCAAAAGGTGTATACGTTGACTCTGTGTGCACCGTTGTGTTATAAGCAAAACACCAAAAAGGTACCCATGAACTCCAAGCATTTTTGAATGTATTTACCTGAATTCTTAAGTACGCGCCCAAATTTTTATGTGAATTTTCTAGCGCACCTAGCGTCTCATGGTGATAAGCTGTAGAATTTAGCTGCTTAATCTGTAATAATTTACAAGTATCCTTAAAAATTTCGGCTAAAAATTCGGTTCCCCTGTCTGTCACAACCGTATTTGGCACTCCGTATCTCAAAACGAAGTTATTTACAAACGCTGTGGCTACTGTTAAGCTATCCTTACTTCTTATCGGGTATGCCTCTACGTACTTGGTAAGATCGCACTGTATGGTTAAAATGTATTTATTTCCACTGACATCCGTTTCAAGCGGTCCCACCAAATCTAAGAAGATTTTATCAAATGCGTACGCAGATGTTGACGTAATTACCATTGGTTCTATTATGGGTTTTGAGTGTTTATACCTTTGGCACGCATCGCATTTTTTTACAAATTTCTCTACGTCGCGGTGTAATCCTGACCAAAAGTAATACTTCTTTATATTATTATACATCCTCGAAATACCACAGTGTCCTCCACTGGGCAATAAATGGAAGTCGTTCAAAATTAACTGTTGAGTTTCACGGTCTGAAATATTAGCAACTCCTTTAATGATAGAAAGTTTTACATTATTGACTTTTAATTCTTTGGATATT